TACTCCGCATGCCAGAAGACCGTCTGCCTCGCAGAGCTCTTTTCGCTCTGTACTGAATGGGAGCGACCGAGAGGTGAACAGTGTATGACCTGGCAACGTAGTATGAAAACACTAACCAGTAAACTTAGTCGGATGGACAACTGTCGCCTCCCTGGATGGGGACCCCGGGACTCAACTCAGTTGGCACAAATAACCCAATCACACAGTCAATGGCGCTCGTGCATCGAGGCTATCGCCTTCAATACGCAGCTACCAAGTTCCTGAACTAACCGAGCATGCCATCGCCTCCAAGGTTTGGCTATATCTCCCGCACTCTCCAAGTTTCCAGAGATCGAGACAGTAGCAGCTGGAAAAAACGTGTCCATGGTACACGGTTTATGACTGATAAATTGATTGATTGATTGATGCCTCCCTACTTCGAAGAACACATCAAACCCAAGCTAACAGGAGTGAGTAATGCAGGCTTCACTAGGCAAAAAGTAAGCGGTGACAGTTATTTTAACAAACGCATGTTGTGATGAATTTCCCAATAGACGCGTTGGTAGCGCAATAACTGGACAGGTAGAACTAAGGTATTTATCCATGCGCACTTACGCCTTATTTGGTAACAGTACTCACTCATTCTCTGATAAAACCCCTATCCAACCAACGTTCACATTCCCAAGTAGCTTTCCTACGTTATACTACTACGTTCATCCCCAAATTACGACCATCCGCTAATCTGGGATTTTACCTGATACCTCGACCATTCTTGTAGGAGTAGTAAACTTCGGTAGACACCAAAAGCCGACTCGGACTGTGTTACGCCACTAGACTTGCAGACATATAGGTAAGAACATATGGACAGTCAGTAAGGCGGTTGAGTAAATTAGGGGTTAACGAGTCAATTTCCCAAAAAAGGCATCTTATTCAATCCACCTAAAGGCAAGGAAAATTCAGATAGGCTTAAATTTGAAACCAATATAGACTAGCTTGATTACATAACCATCCATGTTCCCGCCCTTCCGTATGCGATTGAACGACTTTCGACAAGTGAGTGGCAGGCCCTATCGGAAATTAGAGCCCGGAATCGACAAGAATAGTACGCCAAACAGCCGGTGCAACAGAATTAACAGATGAAAAATGGATGCAGCAAAATGATAGAACCTCTCCATTGTGGATTCTTGTCCCCAGAAAGTCCAATGACATTTTCCAGGTAGTTCGCCTCAAAACTTTATCACTCTTCTACACTATCACTGGCCTGGGAAATGACAGTTTGACTGAGGCTTCTCCAGTTGCGTTTCAGAGCATCCACTAACCCAAAACCGAGGTCCAAGAGCGTTGCTCGTATAGGCCACGGAGTCGCCAATAGGAGTGGGATTTGAACTACAGGTTGACCCGTCCCAAACGTTCATGAGAGTGTACATAAAACAGACATTATAGGAGTTCTGAGGCTGAATGCCTTGTAAAAATGATATCTAAATCACTCCTGATGAGACAGTGCGATGTGGTGGTCCTATGCTTCCGTTGTATCCATTTGTGTTCTCGGTCAGGTGTTTCCATGCTAAGTGCCCTCGTGAATTTTTAGTTCGATTCCGGTGGGAACTGCTGCCAACTGATACAAAAATTCCTCTCCCTAGGAATGAAGTCTACTCGATTGGTAACGAAACGTTTGCTAGCCCATTATCAAGGTTGGTGGATTGAAAAACAACCAACAAACGCAAAGGAATCGCAACTACTTCAACATATCACCAACTACTGAAAAGCTCATTTTGTAAATATTTTCTACAGTAGAAGTTGAACACAGAAATGGACTCCAGAGAGGCCGCAGGATTAAGATCAGAATAGATTCATGCCCCTTAGAACGCGTATCTCGGCTACCTTTCGAAACAATTGTGACACGGGATAAGTACAGAATAGCAGCTATCAAATCCGTACACACCGGCCTGAACAACATAATACATAATCAAGAGATCGTTCAGGAACCACCTCAAAGTTGGAGGGACTACGCAATTTCAACAAATAGGACGCTGTGAAACGGTAGCATATCGGGACTTCAGATGTCGGAGTAGTATGATCGTCCGTTCCCCAATATTTGGATAATTACCCATTAGTTACAAATAGGACATGCTCAAAACCCACAAGCTCCAACAAGCAGGACTATAATGATCTACGAGCAGCACAGGGTCTGTCTGATCACAAAAGTGAATAATAAGGCAGGGAATAATCACCAGAAGAATTAGAGCTGAGATGGGAAAATAAACGGGGTATGATGGGATGAAATTGACAGCATAGCACGGATGTGAATGAATCGACAACAGATTGCACAAGATGCAAGCTATACTATACAGAACGGAAAAGCAGCAGGCGATATAGGTCCAAAAGTGGGTGAAAGGGGTTATCATGCCTTGGTAAATCAACTGCGAGGTGACTATAGTTACAAGAATACATATAGTGTCTACACGCCAGCGGCATTAGTGTTTTCCGATGAGCGTGTGGGTAAGCTTACCATAGTAATCCTTCGGACGGTCTAGTAGTTGTTGTATGAAGGGCAAAGCATGACAAGAGAGGGAGAAAGAAAGAGAACGGACTGGTTCGAAGAAAACTGGAATATGAGGATTTTTTCGACCCCCATACACCCACACACTTTCGACCCCATTTTGGGTGGTGCACAGGCATACCACTGTTTTATGTGCGAATGGCACGACAGTGATGCGAAAAGTTTATGGTCAAGTAAATCGGTAGCTATGGATAGTGCCATACGGGGTGCCAAAGTTGTAAAGTGTACTTAGGTACCTACTGACACTTCAAAAAGTTTCGCGGGGTGGATAAAAACCTATCTCGCGCAATCATCTTGATGTACCGTTTGCACCAAAAACCCGATTACTCGACTATAAAACTGTTTCCTGAGGCAGTGGGTTAGTGCAGATCAGTTTCACCACCTTCAGCTACTAGATGTAAAGCATATAGCTCATATTTTGTTCATTTACGAGATAGCCCAAACGTGCCCATAACAGCCAAGAAATTGGCGTACACACAGCTGTGGTAACCAGGGTAAGCTATTAGTCACGTGAAACGGACTTCGAATTCAAGGTACGTTGAAATTCGCGTATTGCCACGAAGGTCACGGGTTTAACACACCATGCTGTCTACAACCAATGCGCCACAGAGAATTCTGACCAATAATCCGATGCGAAAAGTCTAAAGTTGTACACACACATGCGCATTGTGGCTCGCTGGTATGCGCTTCATAACCCATGTTTTGTGACATCAACGACTTAGAGGGGGTGAGATGGCTCAAGTGGTTGGAGCGCGAATTTACTGAACGGAAGGTCCGTGGTTCGAAACGGATCCCCACTTCTCGACTTCCCCTGTCTAGGTTTGGGCAACCTGGCAGTATCCCAGCCCTCGTGCTTCCTTCGGGTGGCATGGTAGCTAGGCACCGAAAGGGTGTTACAGCTGAACGAAGTCGACTTAGAAGGGTGGTAAATTTCTGATTTCAGCAGATGGCACTTTGTATGCACAACACAAAATCATGTGAGTAATGTCATATGTAAAATGACCACCCCACTTTTGGTGGTCTCAAAACAGTAAAACCTAACAGGCGAGCGAACTCCGCAAAGCAACTTCCATATGTCAACTATGGGAATTCGAAATCGTTCAAGGGTGAGCTGAAAACGACCATACCTATTCAAATAGAACTGGAGCAGACATTAAGAGTCCAGATTATTTTCATAGGATATCTGAATTACCTAGATTTGCACGTCTTGGTGCGTTCACCATTGATCCTAGTGTTCACACCACGGATGGCGGAGATATCAAATTCACCACGACCTATGAGAGTCTGGAGGTGTACGCACTTCGGAATGATTGTAGTAAACTAGCACTAAGTCCCGTACCCCGTCCGCCTTTATTTTCTTCACAATAAGGCTTTCAAATAAATTATGGTTGTACGCCAGCGAAACATTACTATGGAACACTGATGTCCTGCTGACAGGGATGATGATCATGTGATCTGTAAAGGCTGGAATACACCAAGAGATATACCGACAAGAAGTGAATGTGCAAATCGACTGGTAGAACCAGTAGTCTCAATATCAGATTATGAAACCATAAACAAGGTACCAAGAACCAGGGGAAATTTGAACAGCCCAGATCCCTCAGGAATCCACCGGGAAACAAGAAAATAGCATCGGTTGCTTCAGCACGCTAACAACACAACAGCAGATATGCGGAACCTAAAGTAGCAATCAAACCGTAATTCGTCACCAGGAATATATAGGAAAATAACGTAAATACTACGCGGCCGAAGTGCATGTCGCCCTATTTAGGCTCTAGGTGCAATGTCCTGAGATCCTTTTCTTTTTTGTAGCTTTCGATGCATTCTAACCGTTGCTAGTGGTACCATGATAATTCTGTGTTTCGCGCTATCGCAAGATATCATGTGTTGCGTATGGAAATGGATGGAGCTATTATAGGAGTGACAAAGTTCAAACTGGCCGAGAGGAAATTTTTTTGTTGGACATACGTGATCTCCACAAAAACAATAAACGTTATTGGCAGAACAGCTAAAACACGAGTAGTTCAGCTGTTAAAACGAGAAAAAGCCAAGGGTAGGTGATTTGCCTCCATCCGTGGCTTTCCGATTGCCTACGTCAACGAAAGGTTAGTCTAAAGGTTGTCTTTGGTGTTGTAAAGGGGACAGTCCACTTGATTATTAGCCAGTCGGCAGCCAGACTGGCGAGAAAAGTTGCAATTTTGTTGCAGCCATTCATAAAGTTTGCTCTGCGACTGTAAACTTTCTGGGAATGCGACAAATATAGGCACTTTTGCAATACTCCGCCACCTGTAGAAGACTATGTTTGAAAAAGACAAGGTGATCCCATAATCCTGCCACGAGGCTCAATTGAAAGAATTCATTACGGAGCAGTAAAATGGATAAGAATATAATTTACTGGAAGCAGGTATATTCTGTGCCAAATAAATCATCTCAAACAGAACAGCACAAACGTATGGCTTACTTTCTCGTTCAGACAGCTGTGCAATGGTTTGTACTTCCTTGCTGTATTGTATTGACTGAGGGGGTGGAACAGATGACTCAATGATCCGAGAAAATTGGAGGTGCTTCCGCTTTCTCGTAGTCGTAGGTGTTTTTGCTCTGTTTTGAGGACGGGTTGAAATAAGGTGAAATCAGTCTAGGATGAGGTGGAAAAGACCGAGGAAAGAAAAACTGCACGGAAATAGCTGTTTCAAGATATCTTCCCTAAACACGGGCAAGGATCAGTTGAGTGCGAAAGTAGGTTCTGACTGAAAAGAAAATGCGATGGGCCACGTTGACACCACTCATCAAGTATCGGCACACAGTGCCAAAGACACTCAGCGACGGATTACATGGACACAAAGGACTCTTCTGGTAGTAGTTCCAGATGAATGTTCGCATAGTGTAAACTAAATGCTACTCGTGTGGTTGTACGTAATCCAGCTATGCGTGCTCCAAAAAGAACATGCTTTAATTTACGTTCTCCATCGGTAACTGATGGCCACATGGTCCAATCGAGTCCATGACTGTCTAGCGGTTAGTGGCCCTCAAGCAACTCGATGTAAGCCATTGTGCTGGAAGTTCACGCTGGCCAGCAACAGACGATGGTCGGAACACAACTCAACCATTCGTTCCCCATTATCCGTATGCTGAGCGTCGATTCCAAATGTAGCACTTAACTGTGCTTCTTTCGGACTTAGTCATCCAAAGTGAGCACCCATATAGCCCATCCGCCAGGATTAATATCTCCGTCCTTCTTGCTGACCGAAGCATTCGCGATAGATCTCGATAAAACCCGTCCTTTTCAGTCTCAAACGCAGTCTGTCGGGGCGTATGCCGATACGACGAATAAGCACCGTTTATTGCATCGACGTACATTGATTCTGATCGAGCCGAACGGCCGAAGAACGAGACGATTGCTTACTGGGATCCAGTCCAGGGGGACACTTTCAGCCCTGGAGCCGAGCAGATACCACGAGTCGTTGCATCAGGATCAACAGATACACAAAGAGTGAAATGTGGAACATCTGAGCTCGTCCTAGGTAGCATGAGGTGCACAACCCAAGTGAGGTCTTGTATAAGTGTTTCGGAGACACAACATACATCGACAGAGAAGTAAAGCAAGGTTCCAGCAAGAGATGCCTATTTCCCAATTTGACATACAGTATGGATATTGAGGGCTGCAAAATTGATAGGATCTTTTGAGAATAGTATGTGACTATTTTCGTTTATCTCTCAGGGTGGTGGTTTAGAAACGGAACAGTGACTAGGGGACTGGTAGAGGGTTGATCGTATCGTCTGATAGGTGGGAATGAGATGTGGGGCATGGCTGGTAAGCGGAGCGTTGCAAGGGAGAATGATACTTCTCAGTTGCCCAAACCTAAAAAGCTGTCCACCTTAAGCCTTTGATTCAAACGTCTGACCCACAAGGCATTATGAACATGTAGGGCTATGTTCCGGGACCCTTCCGCTAGCCTATGATTTGAAAGTCTGAATCACATGGTAGCTGTTGCTACGGTACTCTTGGGGGGCCCTTCCGGGAGGCAATGCAAGTAAGGCATCACCGTCCGACTGCTGATGCGGCTACGTACAGCAGGTGCCCTTCGAGCAGCGTCAGACCCTTTAGTTTTGAAAGTACTTCGACAGTTTTGAAAATGCACTAGTGGTCACGATTAAACGCTGGGCGATTGGTGTGTGGTTTTGAGAGCCAACGTTTTCTAAAGGCGGCATTACTGGTTCCATAAACATTGACACGCTGGTAGCATGTAGGAAACGCCTTACTGCCGTCACACCTTTATCGCAAACAGAAGTACAGCTTTACCTTCAGACCCACTCGTAAACGATTTCTTGCAGCAAGGAGACACGCTGTTCCCCATTTTCCTTTGTGGCATGGTTGAACTGCGTACCAGTCAGTATAGACGGCACAATCATTGCCCGACAACTAGGACAAGGTGACAGCATTTGGTCAGGATCCGAGGTCTCATTTCGGCTGAAGGACCCAGGTGAGTGGCGGCCGGTGGCCCCGAGTATTATTGTTCGAAGCATTCGGAAGTATCCAGTGCATGAGCGTGCCTGGTAGAGGCACGCCACAGGTGAAATTCCCAAAACTGCATAAATAGATCGCTCAGCTGTTACACTCTTCCGGTGCCTAGCTGCCATGTCACCCGAAGGAAGCACGAGGGCTGGGATACCGTCAGGTTGCCCAAACCTAGACAGGGGAAGTCGAGAGGTGGGGGTCCGGTTCGAACCACGGACCTTCCGGTCAGTAAATTCGTGCCCTAACCACCTAAACCATCTCGACCCGTTCAAACCATGGACCTTCCGGCGGTAAGTTTGTGCCTTAATCACTGAGCCACCTCGAGCTAATGTTGCTGTCAATGGTGGTGGTATGGTTCCTTAAGCTGATTAACGCCAGTTGGATAAGAGGTATTTCCCCCACCATATACAGCTTCATCAAAAGGATAAATAAATTTTCCATGAATGCTTAATAACAGCAGCAACCATGACATGTACATCCATGTTCTCGAGTGTAGTTCCCTTGATTCGTGCCATTTTTAATCTCGAATTAAGCCATTCTATTCGCCTACTTGTCAAAGAGAAAGTGTGCAGTGACAAGATCATATCATTCCACTAAAGACACCTTGTTTTACCAGGGCAGTTTCTTTAGTACTGCAAGACAAACCCAGCACCGTTACCGACCTTGGTAGCAATATTATGGCCAGGGAGAACATCAGAAGTGGGAAACGTTTATGTTGTTCATTGCGGAAAGCAAATGATGGATGGATATTTGAACAAATTCCTCAGCCAAAGGCGCAAAGGAAGGGGCTGATATGTCGTTAAAATTAGGGGAATAAGGAAGTTTTCATTTAAAATCCACCGATCTTGAGTTATAACTCAGAGAATTTCTGCACAACCCATATTAAATATCGGTGAATGAGTTTAGAATCTGGTCTGGAGTTAAAGGCACCCAGTCCTGGTGGTTTGAAGTGGTACATTGGTCACGAGACAAATAAATGCTGTTAGCCTATGTTGTACAACGACTAAAACGTGTAATATGTCAGCAATTTCTAGGACACATCACCCTGTAAAGCTTCCGTGAGGTAAAAGCCATTTGGCGATTTGGGACAGGCTGTGCGGATTAGAAAGGCACGTGTCTTGACAAGAAGGAAAGCCATTAAAGATTTCCGAGTCGTCCGTGTTGAGTTCAGTGGTTAAGGCGCGAACGTAATAATCGGAAGGTCCGTGGTTTGATCCCAACCGGTACCTCGACTGCTCCGGTATATGTTTGGGAAATCTGGTAGTACTACCCTTCGATAGCCTGGCAGCAAGATGATACAGCTGAACGACTGATTGACTAATTGATTAATGCCGAGGGTGAATTAATATACGCTGAAAGTTGATAAACCGTTGATATCGTTGGAATCATAATTATTTCCATTCAATTACAGCAAAGTAGACTTAAGTGTCGTGTGATTGCTACCGAAAAACTATGAATAAGTTCAATATTTTGCATCAGCTCGGTAGAAGCAGTGAATGATTACAGCGTGAATAAAGCACCGTGGGAACACATGGCTCTTGTCTCAATAAGATTTTCACCTAGGTTATTCGTACCCACTTGCGTTTTACACACACTACAATCACACTACACACATTACTAAAGGAATGGCCAGTATTTGCTTGTTAGATTTTGCAACGGACGAGTGCCTTTCTGAAAGGAGTTTTGATCACGTGGGGGTGGACGAAATACGTCCGATGCTTGTGTCAGCATCAAAAGTGTACCACAGTGCTGCGCTCTCAGACCTACATAGTTTAAGCTGTACACCAAGGAACATCTAATGGCACCCAATTCAGTCCTCTTGTTGTATGCACATAACTAGCTTAGCGAAATGAACTGGAAGCTCTAGGCAGAAATATTCAGTACGGCAGATAGACAGGCTGCCGAACGCGTCATTTCAACGCATAGCTAATGAAGGTGATTATGAAAAGTAATCGGCTGACTTTGAGGGTTTTTACGACACTCGTGATGTACCACAATGATGCACATCCACCACCCCGAAGAAAAGTCACAATGGAGGGTCTGGGAATGCTGAGATACTCTAAGAGGACATTGAAACAGATTTCCTGTTCTTTTGTCACGGTGGCCCTATTCTGAAATAAATTCAAGTAGATCACTTGTTATCTGTACAATAACTGGCCATCCTAGGGGAAGTTCAACAAAGAGCTGGGGAAATTTGTGCACTTCAGAAAGTACCGGACAGAGAGACGTGCCAGCCGCTTACTCCATTTTCAAATGAGCACCGAAGTCATCGTGAAGATTTAGGGGACAGCCTACGGACTAGCCACTGTCTCTACCAACTGGACACCGAATAATTTATGCGCATTCTGAGGACAGAACTCGGCGGTGTGCAGAATGACGTGGTTTAAACGAGTGATCAATGTAAGATAAGAAAGGCAAAGCATATTCATTTAGGTTATGTACATGCAATAAAATGACGCCATCCACACATCCAGAAAATGGCCCGAATAGTGTAGGAGGATTGCCTATCGAAACCCAGACCCCGACACGATTTATGCGACCACCCAGACGTACGATAGCACAGGAGTGGAAGCTGCTCCCCAGTGCGTCAAGAAATCCTTCAGGCGACGTCTTTGCCTTTGACTGACATTCCCGCCTGCTCGGGAAGAGAATTTGATTGGTGTTTTCATCCAATCACCAAACCTCACGATGGGATTGTGAAGTAAGAAATCGAACGAATGTAGTCAACTGAATTTCGTTCTTTCTTCTAAAAGAGTACAATCTTCTGCATCAATTCTGGGATCTAGGTAGGTGAGTTTTGTGGGGCTTTCACTTCACAACGTGCGTTTATATATTCTTAAATAACAGATACAGCTATTCCAGACCCTGCCAACCGCACCGAGTCTGCGCCGAAAAGGAATCTTATTAACATGCATTTTCAGACGCGATCTTCCTCATTATTTTATCAAACCCGTTTCCATTCAGAAATCTATCTTGGTGCCATGATGGAAAATAATTTCATGGTGGTCTTAGAGTCCACGCACTAAGTAGTGACACGTGCATCCAAAAAGCGGGAAAATTTGTCAAACATACGCAGCAAGTGCTGAGTCCTGCGCATCGGTGGCGTTTTGCGTACCCACCGGCTCTTCTCCAACGGGTATCCCAAGTGTTTTCAAGATCTCTTCGGTCGTTTGCCCCAAATCGCCATTGCTAGCCACCTTGCCCAATTCAGCAGCGCTCCCATCTTCTAAGCCACTTCGTCTGCTTTCTTCTCTCTTTTTTCGGTTCTCTCTTATGGCAATGAGAGTGGCCTTCTTCCTCTCTATTTCAGCTTTCCTATCAGCCGCGCTCATTTTCTCTCAGGGTCAAATCCTCAAGGTTAATCATAGACACTGCATTCAGTATTCAGCATTCATGGTTTTCCTGCAGATCCAGCAAAACAGAGGCTTATTGGTGACCCGTAGTTGGAGACCAGGAATTCAAGTCAATAATAATGGTAAATGGTTGGCGTTGATGTTGGGCACTATGTGCGGGGCGAAAAATCGTAGGAGGAATGTCATTCCACGCCCATGAATCCCTTAAGACTCGAGTTTGTGAAACAGCTAGACGTATGGGACTCGGCTGCGTACCTTTGTGAAGTCTAAAAATATGGCATTCGGTGTGAATCGTTTCACCCAGGCTTGGGTTAATCTGTCCATAAATATGGGTGTTTCCGTCACACAGGAACGGTTTGCAAGCAATATGTATCACACTGGGATATCAGGTTACTCTCAGAGAGGATGGCTTGCCTCAGAATGCGTTCTATTGCCCTGCACGGTACACTATTGGTGCCGAGTGGCCTGCAGCTGCCTGGCGAGAGTCGCTCAATAGTTTTATAGATTAGCGTGACAATCGACTCTTTCCAAAAGGAGTGGTGGTTGCCTGCGTCCGGTCAACGAGTAGACACCTGGTAGAAATGTTTCGCAAGTCTAAACGGAAGGCCTTGAATCTTTTCAGGTAGCTTATGGTCCATCTGTCTGTGCTCTTGTTTCTTTGGGACGACATGGCGGTGGCGTCATGCATTTTCTAGAAGCGGGTCATGCAAATCACTTCGGCTAAACCTGGTCCCATCTGAAACTCCGGGAAGTCCATACGACAGAATTCCCGGATTTGCGTTTGACGTTCTAGTTTTCTAGTCCAGTAGCAGGTAAGAATAAAGGTCAATGCGCAGTAGTTACCATGACCCAGAGGAGCTTCGGGCAACATTTGAGCAACAATGTGTCGCATTCATGATGACCAGATCCAGCAGGGATGGTAGTTGGCCTGTGCGGTAGTCGATTGCTCCGACTACAGGTTGAGTACAAGCGTTCTGATCAATGACTTTGTTCAGCGCCAATATAATGTGTCCACCGGACCGATACGCTAGATTTCCATCCGGGAGGAACTAGGGCGTTAAAATCATCTACCTGCAAGAGATTTGTGAAGTGGTAGCTGGAGGAGAGTTGACTAGAGTTTTGTACGAGGACCTGATTATCTTAAGGTGGGTTGGAGGGGCAACCGGGGACCAGACCAAGAAGGAGCGAATCAGTCGCACGCATCAAAATTTGAATAGGCAGTGCAACATAAAAGATAAAAGATAGGCCAATCGATTTTGGTAGAGCCGCATGTAAGCGGAAGACATCCGCACCCTGAGGTCTAGATAAAGACGGCAGAAACGAATCGAATCCTGAGGTTTCAAAGCAACCATCTAAATCGTCACAAACGAAGCTGCATCCGGACGACTTTCAAGCGATACACGTGCATAAAAGAATAAAAGAATCAAAGATCAGAGAAGAAAGTGTCTATACAAATTGTTCCGGAAAGTGGATACCAGAGGAATTTCATCTGGCCATCACTCAGAAGGTCAAATACGAACCGGAATCATCACATTAATTAACCACTGGGAGCAAGAGAACGCGAGAACCTCAAAGCTCTTAGCTACAAGAGCAACCCGATACACGTTGCAGCATAAAAGAATCAAAGATCAGAGAAGAAAGTGTCTATACAAATTGTTCCGGAAAGTGGATACCAGAGGAATTTCATCTGGCCATCACTCAGAAGGTCAAATACGAACCGGAATCATCACACTAATTAACCACTGGGAGCAAGAGAACGCGAGAACCTCAAAGCTCTTAGCTACAAGAGCAACCTGACGATGAATAAATGGGTGAATCAGCGAAGCCTCAGATACATCCATATGACTAGAACAGGCACCCAGTCGATAAGCCGAAACATCAAATTGACCGGTGGTTGAAGGGACTCTAGCCATTAGGATGGAGGAAAAGGACCGTGTAACCAACAAATCAAGCTCCAGAAAATCATGCCAATCAAGGCCAGTGAGGAAACCACCAAAATAGAATGCGCGTGCACAACTAACCAAGTACAAATATAGAGTGGATGTACAGTCGGAAGAGGTGGCATCTTAGCGTATGTGTTTGTGGTAGACAATTCAAACATTATGGGTGAGGAAGAGGAGCTAGTGCAGCGAAAGTTGATGGGTTGGAAGTGCGTGTGGAATTGTGGACGTTGATTTCCGTGAGACACGAGGTGGTAGATACATGAACGGGAAAATTTGAACTACCTCATTTTTTTAAATTTTCTGTTGCTCTTTATTCTGTAGTTTTTAAATTCTTCCCAATGATTTTGGCTTTTCTTCACCTTTTGAATTCTCTTCTCAGACAAAGATGATGCACAAGGATAAGAAAAGCATGCGGGTTGCATCGGTGACGGACTTTTACCTGCAACTTTTTGACAAGGAGCTGGAGCTTCTTCAGTTGACAGACGATAGCGTACAATGCAACGGTGATGTGTGTTAGCCAACGATCAACCCCCCTTAAATTCGAAGGAGAAATTCCTTTGAACGCACTGCATCAGGTAGATGCATGTTTCAGATACCAAGACTTATTAGTGATGAGGATTTGGTCCCCACTTCTGGCAGTGGAACGTTTGTTTCAGCGCAAATTGGAAGTCACGTGAATTAGCCCGGATTCCGTGTGCTGGTGATTATCTGTGGCCGCGCCGAGCATCTCAAACGATTTTTCGGGCCGAACCAAGTCCTTATATCGCCTGTTACGTTCAATAAAATTAAAGTTTGTCTGTTCAATTCTATGTTCACAGGACTAGCCCGCCAAGCGTTTGAGCAGAACGATCCCTTGCGGCAAGAATTTTTTCAATACTGGGATTAAAAATTTGGGTGATGATTTCCAGCAATGGCCAGAAAATCATGAAGTAAATCAACTAACCATTCGTTTCGGACACTTGAGGTGTGAGAAAAATATCGCCTGCTGAATTAAAGACCAGTGTGGCTAAACGTCGTCAGATCACACTCTTCGTCGGAGTGTAACCGCAAGTCACCACCGAGTTGGTAATCGTGAGTTTTTGTGTTTTATTCAGAAGATCTAAAGTTCTTGAATGCTCGATCTAGGCTCAGTTTTAACGGTCATTCCTAGAAAACATTGCGATGCCATCGTTTCATCGTCATGTAATCGCCGTACCATCATCTTGTGAGTTGAGAGACAGACTCAAATGTCATCCCCATATCCTGACACACGTAAAAACGTTGACAGCGCTGTAAATTGAACCGTGTTAAACTCCGTGTGGAACTCTCACTAAGGCATGGAATGTAAATCCCGTCTGAAATAACCTCGGATGAACCATTAGCGAGCTACCTACTGGAAATTTGGGGTAGAAATCCTCTGATTGGTATCGTCGGAAGAAGCAGAATTATAATTGAACTACTTGCACAAAAACTGCTATAGTCGGTAAATCGAGCCCCTTCATTTTTACCCGCTGGCTTGCATTTAACGGCCTTCATAGTCGCACTCAGAAGATTCGGGTTGACATCAAACGGCTCCGATGCTGAGACCACAACGGACGGTTGCTCAGGTTCACGGGCTGACTTGAAACGCGCGAGGTAAGGTTGGGTTGGTGTGCAATTAAATTTGACCACGCTCACACCCATCGTCCTTTCCATCATCACTTCTGCGCCACTTTATGCTGTTATATAGCTTATAAGTCTGCTGTATGGGACCAAATCATACTGGTCTGTCATTGTCATTCGTTGCCGCTCACGCTCGCCAAAAGGCGACCTATTCCTCAGACAAATCCTTGGATATATGTATTCCAGCCGACAGTGTGTTGGAATGTTGGTAGCTTGGGTGCATTAGTTGAAATTTAATTAGGTGGCCGTTGATTTGTTCGCTGAGCGCGTCAATTGATTTGCATACGTTTCATCGCCACTCGAGGAGATATCTTTAGTGCGCTGATGACGAAAATCAATTACCAGGTTCGGCGAACAGATCGCCAGCCACTTGATCAAACCAGTATCCGATAGACGTCAGCGCCTTGGTGCTTTCCAGATGGAGTCACATCGCGTTGAGTCTGGTGCACATCTTATGTCGGTGCATATTTAAATCGTTCGAAAGGGTCTCGGACCTCATAATACGACGCACCAAATAGATACCGCACAGACTAGCTAACGCTTCTACTGTGGTTGTTTAACACCGATGAAATATTCGCTAATCAGTTGGTAATTAATCCTTTCCTGAAACTTAGTGACCACTTTGTGCTGAATTTAGACTTTACACGATATTGGATCAGGAACACAGAACTTCCAACGTTGACTATAATCTTTCGCCGTGCAGCCTACTCGGACTAACTCGGTCCCGATTATAACCAACTTCCATGGTGGAGGCACACAGGACTAATGTGCCAGATGCTGCAAAAAAGCTTCGCTTATCTGAAAACCGGGACTGAACCGTTGCAAGATGCATGAACTCGATATATCAGGCATTTGCAGGTAGAAAATACGTAAAAGGCTACGATACTCATTTTCAACCGTAAAAAACAAAGTGTTACGATCCAAATAAATGGGACCGTCGCAGAAAAATACCAACCGATTTTACAATTCTAAACAGAAAAGTGTAGCCCAGTAGTACCTCAACAATGGTATCTGGCGCTCACAGAAAACAACGGGCGAGCATGTTTGCTGGCGAAGCTACATCTGTAGAAAACATCTTACCAACAATGTGCTACAGTTTCCAACCCCATGTGACCGCCAATCCCCATATTTTCTCCCCTCGACCAGGTGAACTGAAACTTTTTTGTTTCACTGGATTATTTTTATAGCTCTTACGGACTTCGGTCGGACATTATGGTTTTGCGGTTGCCAGCCGTCGATATCTTTTTGCTTGTGACGATATTGATTTTGAGGCATAGTGATCTGTGCTTTATCGTCAGGCTGGTGATTGTACCGCCTTATTTTGTAACCCTACGGTATTTGTAGAGGAGATTCAGCTGAGGGTTGTTGAGTATGTACATTATTATCTTTGCAATAGTACCG